TGTTCCGAAAATGGCACCATATTGTAAATATTATACTATGAAATAGATCACTTGTGATCTGCTAAACATTAGCCAAACCACTGTGTTTACACTTATTCATCTCTGGTTGCAAACAACAGGTGATTACCGCCCCCTGCTGTACATTTGCGTGTGCAGAGAGATCCATGAAAATATAATTTTCATACATTCAGAGTTCAAATAATTAAAAAAGATCTTCAAATTTAAAGCAATTGTTCTGATGGTTCATATAAATACTTTGACAATGTTATTCCAAAAACTTCAACATATTTTTATTATTACAGTAATAAGTGGATTGTGAGTTATCTGCTAAGCGCTAGCCTAACCACCATCAGTAGACTTCTTCTTCTTCTTCTTCTCTGGTTGCAGACAATAGGTGTTTACTGCCCCCTGCTGTACATATGTTTGTGCCTGCCATCCTTGCTTTTGCTGCCTCTTGTGTTTCTGACCTCTCTCTTTATATCACCTGAATCAAACAATGTATCTGGGCAGTTGGTCTCTCAAATGCACCTGATCAAATTTTCTAAACTAGAAGACAGGGTAGATGGGACCTGTTCTGTCCTGACTATATGGGATACACCCTAGACTACTGGAAGGATTGGAGAATGGTGTGTTTTATGAGTTTTATAAGTTAAGGACATCAAATACGTGTATACATGTTTGGATACATAATACTCAGATTTTTTCTATTTTGGAGGATACCTGATGTAACTACGATTACAGAGAATGTCAATTTTTGTAATGATTAGGCTACCTGCCACTGTTGATGCGCTCAAACACTGTGAACGAGCAGAACCTTGAGCTGAACCAAAGGCTCGATGCGATTAAATGAAAATGGCTGCGGTTGCTGAATTCAAAGGTGAGATGGGAAAGAATCTTGGATCTGCATGCCCATTTCAAGGCGGAAAAGCCCAACGAATTTGGAATATTGGATTCGCCAAGTGGAGCACAGAGACAAAGGTCGTTTCTCAATATGCTTTCTCTGGCACTCTCATGTGTTCGTGACACGTCATTAGCCTCAGCCCAAGCACTGTTCCAATTGTCGAGAACTCCAGACCGAGAATGCACCAAATCCCTGGATGTTGTTCTCGCTCCGCCCTCTTTATCGAGTATGCATCAGAGCAGACTTGTCCATTCTCGAGGTTGACAGCTGTCCCAGCATGCACTGAGGCAGCAGCAGCTTTCAATGGAGTGCTCTATTGAAACTTAAAAGTTCTCTTTCTGTTGCTGTTGTTCAATAAAAGTAAGTTTTAAGATAATTTGAGGCAAGAATATTATAATTTAAAGCGATGGAGGAAACAGTGTACACTGATGTCAAAACATTTGATAGTTGTTGTTGTTTTTTTTGAATGCATT